CGTCACATCTGCTGGCATGCACCTCTTGATTTTTGTAACCTGACATGTGCTACTATCGTGTTTGCTTTTAACACCACTTTAATGATATACACCATACTCCCCAAAGTATCCACTCACCGATCCAAATCATTGAATTCAGGTGTTCCAATCACTTCTGTGGGCACCAGTGTAAAAAAAGCCACCTAGTCATGCAGACTGAATGACAGGACCCCACCCGTGCAACAAGTCCAGCCATGAAATTTCCTTGCTACTAAATATTACACAGTCATCTAGTTAATCTAGTGGTATTATAACAAAGTGGAAGTGAAGGCAGATGAGTGAAAACTTTTGGTGATATGGTCTATTAGTACAGAAGTTTAGAGATTCACAAATTATACAGAGGGAGAGGTTAAGACAGTTTGAAAACGTGAGACTCTGTGGGTTGAAAAATACTTAAAAAAGAAAACACCCAGCAATGTCTTTGCCTATGGTTTTGACTCTTTATATATCAGCTCTGTGTGTTAAGTGACCAATGCAGAGAGTATACTGGCACCTTTTTCTTGGCTTATGCTGTCTCCAGAAAGGCTGATCTATTCAAGCTGTCGCAACATCTAATTCTGTATAATCTAGGAATTAAGTTTCCGTATTGATATATAATTGAAATTGAAAAATGACACAATAATAGATTCACGCTATCTGCCAAGTTGCAACAAAGTTAGAAAACTGAGAGGTGAAGGACCAGCAGAAAGGACACCAAAGCGTGACTCGGGTCAGCAGATATAACTTCACTTTGAGAGTGTGTCACTGTATGTGAGGGTATATGGAGCCCTTTATACCTAGAGCGCAGGATTGCTACAAACTGTTTCACCATATAAACATGAAAGATATCATCATATCACTAAGCTTCCGTCATAATTAAGATACTCTTAGTGTGCCAAGTGTATAAAAGCGCGCATTGGTGTATTTTCTTTTCTTCCCCAGCTGTAATATATTGTTACATTCATAATCTCATCCACTAAAGCAGTTTAATTATTAGTTGTATTTTGACAAACATTTAACTTCGGCTTTTATTACAGATTCAACAAATAGAGGTTGCTCGTTTGTGCTCAATGTGTGCACATTTCCGGGGGAAACTCCGTTTGGACCATTTCTGCTGTTTATTCAAAATACCAGTTTTGCTAGAAATAAGTGGGGCTCGGCTATAACGTGAGTTAACCGCGACTGCGCTCACAGACTTAAGCTTTCCAGTTCGTCAGTGACGCGTTCCTTTCTGATCATCTGCCCTCTGTTTGAATAAAAAGTCACTCCTAGAAGCATCTAACACAACTACAAACTACTACAAATTTTGGAAATCACGGCAGCGTAAATATTTCCCCCTTGAAAGGGAAAGTCCTATAAGTACGTGCTTTTTGGACTACTCGAACGCCCCCTTTCAAAACAAAACTTTGCTGTTCCTTTACTTCCGGTTATGACTTCTTCTACCAATCGTGTTGATGTGGAGGTTTTGTCTAGCGACATCTATCATTCTATTAAAGAAATACTGCAACGAGCGCGCTCGCTGTGCACTCGCTGTGCCAAAAAGGGATGTCTGATATTTGCCCAAATGATTGCCGGTATTTAAATAGTTGTATGCATGTATGTATGGCTTATGTAGCGATTAACAAATGGTGGCAGGACAGATTACAAGTTTTACAGCCTCACTATTATTTATGTGCACTGCTGCCCTCTTACATTCACTGTCTGGATCGGTAGCGCTGCTGCTCTCCGACTTGATGGGACGTGGGGCCCGGGCTCTCAGGGAGGAACAGCTGGGATGTCAGACGGTGGGTTTATGTGGTTGGCTCAAAGTTCGAGGATCCAAGCGGTGGGATTATGGCAACCTAATAGAAATCTGTTAATCGCGCTGACAGGCTTGTAAACGCGCGCACCGGGTGGCCACTTCCTGAAATGCGAGTGAGTGCGCGCCTTTTCTTTTTGAAGTTTGCGATTATGGGATTGGGGCGATCTCTGGGTACGTAACTTGGGCGTAATTCTTCTCTCGCCCTCTCTCTCACTTTTAAATATATTTGTATAACAAAAATATTAATCATCACAAAAAGGCGGATCGCCAAAAAACGGCGTTACATTTTTCAGTAGCAAAACTGACCTTTAAGTACCCGCTGCGAAACTGCGCAGTTATGAATTTGTCGGATGTTGTTGACTCGCAAATCTACGATTTGAGACCAGGAGGAGACAAACCCAGTCTCAGTGAACAAGTGCAGCATGGGAAAATCGGAGGGTTGCGTCACCAAGAATGTTAAATCTGCAGCTCAATAATCAAATATGAGGATCCATCCGATTTGGCAGACCCACTGGGAATAAATACATTATGTGAAATGATATTAATACGCAATATAATGTGCTAAATCATACGAAATTATAAGGCTTTGCCACTAGGAATGAGCCCACATCCGCTAATACTGATGTAACATGCTGTTATCTACTTTAACGCCTACTCTAACATCCCAACCTGTAGTGGATACCGCCACTAGTTTCAGTTCCATCACAATATTGTGATGTTCTCAGTAGTCCTTGTTGTGCTATCCAGCTCATAAAGGATTATCTAAAACCTTTTTTTCTCTATGTGAAAATAAAGTACATACTGTAATGGGAAGTCCCTCTGCTGGGCATCGGGTCAGAAGTCTTATACTGCATGCCTAAAGAGGAAAAAATACATTTAAGTAGCATAATTCTGTATGAATAGCTAATTACATTTAAATAATTCATATATTTTGATTAGAAATAGAACGACTCGTTACTGTGAATTCATGATGGCACAGATGGCACATATATGCCTTTTAACCAGTTTGATACACAGCACAGTAGAAATTCAATAGCAATAAAATCTACAGCCTCCAAAATAATATTTCGCATGTACAGAGTGTATCCAGACTGCATTAGACTGTACCGATTTAAACAGGTGCATTTAATGTAAGTCTGTGCCATATCATATTGACCATAATGCCCTCCCCCATTATCCTCCCACAAAGAGACAAGTCCGGGCATGTCTGAGAGATGAGTTAGAGCTGGGCGTCCGACTTCGATGATGAGTTACACAGAAAAGGGACGATAGACAGCAGAGCACAGTTCCCAGCAAAGTATGCAAGAAAACAGGAGGAGGAACTTGCAGCTGGTGATGTGCGACCCAACTAAACAAAGAGCAAGAGTATTCACCAGTTGCGTTCCTTCTGATAATAGAGGCAAATGGTGGATTTAAACAACCAATTAAAATGTTCTATGTAACACCCCAGGTACAAAATATTTTTGAGCTTTATTATATGCCTATATTGGATCAGGCTCCTGCAGAGTCACATGGTTATTTAGTTTATTCTAAATTTAGTGTTATTTTATACTTAAAAAGTCCAGGGAAACAACACCCAGACTCCTCATTGGAAAAGAAGGTTTGAAAATTCATTTTCTTACATTTATAAATGCTGCTGTCTTCAAGCTAGATGCATAATATATATTTTTCTATATCGTCAGAAATACTGTTATCATAATTTTTTCTTGAAATATTGTGGTATCCTTTTGAGGCTTTTTCGCCCAACCCTTATTTAATACTGCTTGCTGAGTTTAAACCAGCGGAACATGCAGCACCCTAACGACAGTGACAACAGTGAATGGCGCTATTGTGTTGATCGTCGTTTCCCATTCTGATTTTTTAACCTCATCTACACAGTTGTCTTAACAGTTCACAGTGATTTTATAATGTATTAGATGTATGTTATTTAAATATTTTTAAACATGCACATTCTATTTAAATTTTACTTTGAAACTTGACGTCCAGGTATATTTTAACCAGCATTTCAACAAAGCCAGCGCAGAATGGCGCCTTAATGGTCTACATACATGTTTTATGGATGTCTTGAATGAGTGATCCCTTTGCTTCTGGTTGGATTTCATTAGTGTCGTTTGAGCAGGTAATGAAGACAAAATTGGACTGGCATATTGTGCAGGTTTTAGGAGTCTTAGGCACAGGCGGTGGTATTTGAGAGCATTCTGGGAAAGCTTTCTCTCTCTTGTCTCTCTGGTACAGGATATTGTCACATTCGTCATATATTGTGTTGAGGTTGGAGCACTTGTCCTGATCCTTGCAGACCACACAGTTTAGCCCATCTGCATTTAGAGAAACGGAAAATATAAATATAAATATGATTTCAGGTGTAAATGCATGCGAGTTAAAATTACATGCTGATGGGACCTAAAATAATTCTTAGTATTGCATTTTATAACATTGTTGTAAGTCACCCTGCAATACACACCCTAAAAAGTAAGGCATACCTACGATGTAAAATGAAAAAATATTTGTTTTTTTGCTAATTACCATACAATTACAGTGTACCTAAAAATAAATTATAGTGTAATTAAATTACTTTCACGGTAACTTGAAAATATAATGTATATTCACTTTCCGGTACAATAAAATTGCAAATAAAGTGGCTCATTTAAAGTCAGATTTAATTACAGGGTAATTACGTCCTCAGTTGGGGTGTTGTATTACAAAGTGTTACCAATTTTTGAATAAAAACTTACTACAGCTTAGCTTACTCACGTTTTTAACACTGTAGATGTGCTGTAGACTATATAAATAAACTGATCAAAAATATAAAAATATAATTAATAGTTTAAAAAAACTGCACATGTATATAAACTAGATATAAATAAACCTTTAAATACATATGAAGTACAACATACCATTAGATCCATTACAGGCAGGAAAGTTTATGATTAGAACTGCCACCACACAGAGATTGTAGACTGGAAAGAAAAAGTACGAGGCAGACTTACTCATGGAAAAAGTCACTATGAATTACTCCACATGGAAATTTAAATAAAATTATACACTTATTTAGGTACAGCAGTTACACTGATTGCATCATATAAGACTTTCCAGTATTTTGTCTAATCATGCATGTAAATGTAACATTAAAGAAACATGCCTCAGCAGAACTGCAATAAAATACAACAACAACTTTAACCATGTCCTCAGTGTTAAACATGCTAGATTTTTTGGCATTTAATATATCGATCTTTATGATTTAAAATGTAATATTTGCAATAAATGTATGCATGACAGTTTTTAACAGATACATATTGGAAATTTAATTACCTTTCCATTTTTTCCCAACAGCTCTTTTCTTGTAGCGGTTTTGGTCCGTCACTTCTTCCACTGGTGCGGCGCTTCCTGGGTTTTCTTTGGCGTCTGTGTTGGCATCCATGATGTTACCCTTATTTTCTACATCTTCCATGAGTGCCTCTGTAATGGCTGATGTTCCGGGTAAAGGCTTGACTACTTCCTCTCCCTTGCTATTATCTTCACGATCTGTGTATGTCTGGCAATTGAAGTTATTTTGCGGCTCACTTTGCATCCCAGCCAAACTGGACTTGATTAAGAATCCCTCTGTCATAGGTCTTGACTCAGGCGGGTATGGGTGTGGCTTGCTTTTTGTCAACATGGGGAACTGCTTCATGTGAGGAATGGGCCTCACACAACTCCCTGTGTCAGTTACAGGCAGGGCACTTTCTTCATACTTGTAACAAAACTTGTGCACCATGTCAGAAGAGAGACCTGCATCACTGTAATATAGAGGGGAAAAATATTGCTTTTTTCTCCCATTTTTACAATAAGTGTAAAAAACATATTTTATTAAAGAACTGTAAAAACCAGGACAAAAGCATACCCGCTCTCCTGAGTGTGTAGATTATCACCATCTTTAAGTGAAAACATAACACAGTTAGTCTACTGAAAATCCTTTTCATATGCAAAACAGTTCATTTTACAGTCCTTAGATGTTTAACTACCAAAATACAAGCAGATTTTTCTTTCCTTTTTAAGGAAATTCTTTTAATGAGTCAGCATAATGTGCAGCACTTAGGTAATATGGTAAAATAGCAACACTGCACATTGTTTTCCTGGATTGCCAATGCAGTACATTAGCAGCACGTGCTGTTCTTACTTTGTAATTTCTTACAAAATAACTTCAGCTGCAAAAAGTTAACAAAACAAATTTCGGTGCCGTAAAAATGAATAAAAGTGGTGATCTGAGTAAAAGTACCAGATGCAGCCTGTAAATTTCAGTCTCAGAAAGCCTGGAATGAAATGCAACTACAGCCATTTTGCTGGAGAGAATGAATGAAGAGCCTCAAAAATGAGCACACTAAGAGGAAAAACAACTGTCTTGCCGCCATTTTAAAAATATTAAATAATGCCGTGTCAATAAACAAACTAACCTCGTGGTTGAAAGTGGGGCAAATAATCCGACGGATAGACCATTTTCTCACGATGAGCAATAGTTCCACAGATAACCCCGTACAGGTTTTGTCCTCAAACGAGAGCTGTAGGAAATGAAATGACTATGACTGCTAATGTACGTCATAATATTTTTATTTATTTTTTTGCCACTAGATGGTGGTATAAAGACTGAGGTTGATTGCATAGTGAACCTTTACTGATCCATGTAATAATAATAATGATATTATTTATCATTTACCGCTTTGAAAAACGTAGTTAAAAAGTGCTTTACAGAACACAAAAGAAAACATAACTGTAAAGAAATATATGTTATAGTTTTAATAAGTCTGTAATTCTCTGAAGTCCATTAAAATGGATAGGACATAGTGACCAGAAAGGTGTAAATGTCCAATACCAATTTAAATATCTATCTATTCAAATTTTATTCTGTTTTTAAATTTAAATATGGCATTAGGCACCTAATGAATTAAACTGGACTATTAACACCTCAAACTTTCTCTTTTAACAAAAACAATTAGTGTAAATAACAGCAATGGCACAGCATGTCCCAAAGCCACAACGTGCCACTGCTGTTATTCACTCACAATGTTACAACGAATTAAACAAAACCTTAAAGGACGTCTGGTCTTCAGTTTTTTAATGCAACCAAGCGGCCATGCTTGGAATTCTTCACACAGCAGCCGTCAGCATGTGGACTATGGGCTCATTGCTAGAGAACTGCTGTATATGAGTAGATAGCCCGTCTTTTTGTTTCGCAATGGCTTTTTGTTTTGTTTTGTTGTCTGGTTTTTTTCGGGGGGGGGGGTTTGACAGATTTTTCTGTCAGTCAGTTTGTATTTAGAGGATGGCTTAAAGAAATCCTAAGCAACAGCATTTGATTCAGTCATATACCTGCTTCTAATTGTGAAGCCTGAGCAAGCAGACATTTGGTTTAGTTTAGCATTCTATATCTCACACGTTTTAATGGATTTCCTCATTGTTAGCTATTTTATTGTATTCTGTAAAGTCCTTTGTACTTAATTCTCAAAATGATTTTCTTCTCTTCTCTTCTCTTTTTCTTCCCACCCCGCCCTGATCTAATTTTAGTCATTGCTTTCAGTTTTGGTTAGCTTTCATTTTTCTTCTTGTTTCTGTGAAGGAATTCCTGCCAGGTATCGTAAACCAAAAGCAAAAGTGGTGGGAGATTAATTGAAAATATCTATATTAGTGTTGGTACATAACAACAGTGCTAAGACACAATGTGCTACTGCTGGTATAGACTTACATTAAAATAGATGAGTAAATAACAGCATGAGAGACCAGTTTATAATTTGATAATGCAACCAAAAACAATGCTGTTTTTTTTTCTTTTTTCTTCCTCAAAGGTTGTCCCAGGATTTCAGCACAGCAGTATGTTGTCTTGGTGCTGCATTGTTACAGAACGTATGTAATGGTGAGTATTTCATTTAAAGTTATACTGTTTTAAGCTTCTTTCTTATTCATAAGGAGTCGCTACAGGAGCTCAGTCTGCATGTACAAGATGCCCTTCCTGATGCAGCCGTCTCCCTTTTCCCCTGGTATGAAGCAGGGGATTTTTTAAATGTTAGGTACTTGTGTTAATCATTACACTATAGAGCCACTAGTTTAAAGCTGTACAATTTACCCAAACAAAAACCAATGAACCAAAAAGTTTCATTTCTTTTTTGTCGCTTTCCTTTTTGCTCACTTTTTCCTCTGTATCACAGATTACAAATTTAACCAAAAGGTAAAGTGCAAGGAAACATCCTGAAAAAAGTGTTCCCTTGAGATTTATTTGAGATCAATTTGAAACAGAACAAAGGAAATACTGACAAGAAATGCTGTAAACCTTCTAGTGCGGTACGTAAAACTACAGCCAATGCTACAGCCAGGATTTTAAACGTATAGAGGTGAAATAGAAATCCATATACACTTAAATAATTATTCAGTGAAAATGTTGCACTGCTGCAGTGACTAACACTATTGTCTAACAGCAAGACGTTCCTGATTTGAATTTGCAAGCCAGCTGAGGCCTTTGGGTGTGGTTTGCTGTGGCTCTCTCAGGGTACTGTAGCTTCCTCCTACAGTTCATAACAGATTAGCTGGTAATGCTAAAATGGCAATTGTTGTGAGTGTGACTAGTTGCCTGTCTTGGACGTGTGTCTCTTCTCTTCCAATTACCCTGAATTGGACAAGTGGTTAACGCCAGTAAGTTTCAAATTATATAACAATCTTTTATTCAGTTAATGTTGTTTTTCTCCTTCACAAAGGCAATGAATGAAAGTCCAACTAGTTCTTACACATTTTTTTTGTTAGCCTGAAAACAATTAAGTATGAATCGACTGTAGTATAGAAATCGTTCTCTATAAACAACAAAGGGTTTTTCTTCTTAATCATTTTTTTGGGGTTTTTTTGTGATACACCTTGCTAAAACCCAAAGTTTCAGAAACCCACCACATATTTCTGATTTTCAGTAGTAGCAGCAAGGAAATCCTCAATGCATTATATACAGTCATTCCAGTATAATCAGTGTGTTTTACTTTTATAATGACAGCACACACTACAGTAGAGAGCTTGTACATTATTTGCTTGTACACAATTTTGTATCGGTGTGATGTATGAATATATACTAGAGGGATTTCTGCTACCATATATTTATGATTTGACTCAATAGGAGTTGTATACCCGGTGGGTCACCACATTAGTTAGAAAACCACAACATTTTCATAGTTTTACATTTGAAAGAAATAAGTTAAATAAGTCTCAAGTTGACTCCATGAATGTGAAATGAAGAAAAATAATAAGTGAACTGCAGATAGAAAGTAAAATGCTCGAGTAACCATGTTTTGAATCTCCTACAACATTTTTACAAAACTCTCTAAGCTGCAACTTATTGAAATATGACATCAAGAGAACAGTAGGATGAAGTTTGAATCCAGAAATGTTGAAATCTTTACAATAGACTGCTTATACATACAGTCATATATACAGTATATACATGTTCATATGTATACATGCATATGGTAACCATAGCATTCAATTATAGAATCATTTTTACAAAGAAATATTTCAAATGAATGAGAAATTGGTTGTAATAGAATTGAAAATATGGAGAACAAATTAAATGGCTTTATTATTACTGTTACACAGGCCAACTAGATACAAGATCAAGAACAGAGCCTTTAAAATTCAGAGTAAGCGTGAACACAACACAAGTTTTCTTATGTTGTTACGTTTTTTCTGGAATTTGTATTTAGAGCTTGTTTCTGTGCTGCCATGATTAGTGTCTCTGTGCTGTTTTTCAGTCCAGCTTTGTCCAGCCACTGGTAGGATTTCTAGATGTCAGCCATTTCCTCTATCCGCCAGTGGTACTTACCGTGCAGGGGCCTGTCCTTCCATGATGGCTCCTCCAGTTGCTACTCTACTTTACTGGGTTTCTGTTGCCTGAGGTGTTCACTGAGTACGTGGATGAGAAAACTCTTCATTGTCTCATCCTGGACAGTGGTTCTGACACTCACCAGTACCAGGCATCATTCCTTACACTCAGCGTACACTCTCAGGGTGCTGAACTGGGGTGATACCTTCCGTGCTTAGTCAGGAGCATCTTTGTCTTGATGTCACTGGCTTCCATCTCCTTCTTTAGGCAGCTTATTATTCCAGCAGGGTACCTGATCACTGGCAGGCAGTAGCTGTTGATAGCCCAGATCTCGTTCCTAATATTCAGCTGACTCCTTAGGACTTGCCTGACCCTCTGCAGGTACTTGGGGGTTGCAGCTTTCTTAGTGGCCTCTTCATGGTTCCTATTCACCTGCGTTCAGGCCTATGCAGAACAGCAGCAGGAAAAACTCATCTCCTTGGTAGATCCCGCACTTGATGGTGTATTGTGCTATAGGCTTGAAGTTGGCCTCCAGTGTTGTTTGCCACATTCCCATCAAATTCTTGATGAAGGCTCTCAGGGTCCTGTTGATCTTGTATTGTTCTAGGCATTCCACGACTCAAATGTGGGGCGTTGAGTTATAGGCCTTCTCAATCTGGGCAGTGCACAGGTTGGTCAGTCTGGTCTTGCAGTCTTGGGTGACTGCTCTGTCTAGGAACTGGTGTTTTGCTCCTCTGGTATTCCTGCCAACTCCTTTCTGTGCCCCACTCGTGTATTGAGTCATGTGCCTATTCATCTTAGCGCTGTGATGCCTGATAGGGACTTCCATGTGGTACTGGGGCAGGTTATAGGCCGGTAGTTGGATGGAACCAATCCCTTCTGGGGGTTCTTGGGGATCAGGACTGAGCAGTTAGCCATTCTGGGTGTGTTTCATCCATTAGCAGCCTGCTCATTTGTACTACCAGATGCTCATGGAGTGCAGTCAGTTTCCTCAGCCAGTAGACGT